TTTAAAAAAAGAAAGTGAAAAAAAAAAAAAAAGAAATGTTTTATGCAGCTGGACTTTGAAGTGAGAAAGAGGCTTTCTCTACCGTTAAATTTTGCACTTTATTTTAACCCTTAGGTAAGAAAAAGGGTAAAAGTCAACCAACGCAAGACAGTCATGGGACTCACAGGGAGGCTCCTCTCCTGAACCTCCAAAAGCACAAGTGCCCAGCCAGCATGGAGCGCGGGTCCCGAGCCCCCCACCGGCCCGCACTCCACGCAAACAAGCAGGCCGTGGCCGACTGCAGAAGCCCCTGGGTGGGAAACAAGTAGGTACCTTTTTCTCTTCTAGTTCTGCTTTTAAAGATCCCAGATCTTCCTGACATTGCTGCAGAGAAGAAATTTTTTGAAGCATTTGTTCCACTTGGTGATGCAGAGTACTATTCTCTCTACAAACGGACAATGCAGCGTCGTTACACAGGGTCGCAGTCAGCGGTCAGCTCTACTGGCGCTAGGTCAACCTCGAAGTCCCCGAAAGCGCTCCTGACAGGACGCAGTCCTCACACCCGTTTCTCTGGCCCGGGGGTTTACCGCCCACAGAGCCACCTGCTTTTCAGGAGGCCACTTGTGGCAGGGTGGCCCCGTGTGCCGGGAAGCCGGCGCTCCCGCCTCGCTATTCTGGCCACGTGGCAGCCTCGCGACGCAGGACACAGCCCCCCGTGCGCCTTCGCCTGGGTGACGCATGAGCCAGCTGTGCACGATGTGACGGGGAGCAGATGGGCCTGCCTGAACGGAGCCCGCGCCCCGCACTCCCCCGCGTGGCACTGCGTCCCCCGTTTAGAAGCTAGTCTGGGAGTGTCTCCCCCAAAGGGCCCCCGGGGCTTACCGTCTGGCAAACTGGAGCTGTAGAACCTCAGTTAAAGAAAACCGATGCTGTTACGTGATACGCGCCTGAAAGTAGAACTCACTTAAAACGACGCGCAACGTGTGTTCGAGATCGTTCGCTGCAGGAAAAGGGCAACTCGCAGGCTCAGCGACACACCGCTTCCAAGGGAGCCTTCGAGTACGACCGGCCAAAACTAACTCCCAGGACAAGACGGCAGCGCGCAGCCGCGGGGCGCGCCCGGCCACAC